GGCGCTTATGCCGCTGAGCTAAATCCCCAGCAGCCCCGGTTGGTTGGCTTTTTGAGACAGGGTCTCACTCTGTAGTTCAGGCTGGCCTTGCACTCACTGCATGGCCCAGGCTGACCTCAGACTTGTGCAACTCTCCTCTTGCACCAGTGCTCTGGCCGGTTGTGTGCCTTTGGCCTATTGCTGTTACAGGTTCAAGACTGACACGGAGGAGCCAGTTAGGACCTCCTATGAGGCCACGCCTCTTAAAGGTCCCAGCACCTGTTAAGATTCCCATACAGAGGACCAAGCTGCCTACACAGAACCACTTAGGGACAAACCCAAAGGACATCCAAGCATCGCAGTACCCCCTCGCTCACCCCGTACAGGGTGAGGCGAAGCTGAACAGGCATTCTCTGTGTGCAGCTGTAGACAGCCTGAAACTCATATAACATCTGTTTCTGGACGCCCCTTCCTATGGGAAAGCTCTGTTCAGGGTCCTGGCTGGGCATGCGGTGTCTCCTGCTCCTCCTAGGTCCCTCGCTATGGGGAATGGGTACTTTGTACATGCCTGGTCAGATCTTATGGGGAAAGTGGAGGAGGGCAGGTCCCAGACGTAGAGGAGGTGCCAAGCCTGGAAGAAAGGGGCCAGGAAGCTGGACAGATCAAAGTCACAGACGCCCACTCGGTCTGACCTTGTCTTAATGTATAGGAGCTAGCCGCCTTGCTCTGTGGTGTGGACTGACATCTTTGTCCATGTTTTTTTGTTTTGTTTTGTTTTGTTTTTCCATGCTGGGGATTGAACCCAGAGCCTCTGCACTGAGCTATATTCTCGACCTTTCAATTTTTGATTTTGAGATAAGATTTCACTAAGTTACTAAATTACCCAGGCTGGGCTTGAAATTGAGATCCTCCTGCCTCAGCCTCCCAGGGTGCTTGGGTTGCAGGCATGTGCCACTGCCACCGTTCCTACTTTGGTGAGACAAAACAAGTGTGCCAACTCAGGTCTCCCATGCCCCTTCCTATACAGCCACCTATGCCAGCATCTTGATGACTTTAGCTTCCCTAATTACGTCCCAAAAGTCCCTGCTTTCAAATACAATCAGCAGATGACTTTGGGATCAATCTTTCCAATACATGAATTCCAGGGGACATACCTGAGCCATCCCCCGCTCCAACAACCACATAGCCAAGAATTTAACCCTGGATCCGACAAAGTCCCCTCTAGAGACAAGGGTACTGGGGCCCAGCAGGGGATCGAGCTGCTAAAGCTCCCCACGAATTTTTTCTGCTTTTTTTTTTGAGGTGTCTGCTTTGGATTTGTGACCAGCTTCGGATACACAGTGAACTCAAAGGCATCCTAGAACACATAGTGAGTCCCTGTCTCAAAAAAACAGACAGCCAGGCATGGTGGTACACACCTATAACTCAATACTTGGGAGGCCGAGGCAGTAGGATCACTGTAAATTCAAAGCCAGCCAGGGCTCCCTATTAAATTCAAAACCAGCTTGAACTATATATTGAGTTCATGTCTCAACAAACAAATAAGCATGAAAAATAAACAAATAAATAAATTTGATTGGGTCACAACCAGATTATTTTTGCTTCTTTTAAGCAACAGAGTAAGACATAAATAATACCAGTGTCTAAATATAGTCTCAGGAAGCAGACCTGTAATTTTATATCTGCAGTCACTGGCTAAGTGCTTCTTCTTCTCTTCCAACTCCTGGCCCTTGGTGGTGTTATTCTAACCTCTCCTTTTTGTTTTGGGGTATCAGGAATCAAACTTGGGACCTCACACTTGCCAGGCAGGAATTGCCCCACTGAGCTAAATCCCCAGCCCTGCTAACCCGCTTAAGGGCAGCCCAACTCACTCTCCAAATGACCAGTGACCACTCTGGACATGCTTGATGACTGTGAGAGGCTTTTGCCTTTGAGGGATTCTCAGTCCAGTGAAAATGGCCTCAAACCTAGGGCAGATCTGATGAGTAGGGGGGCAGATGGTGCAGAAACACTTACCAAGAAAACAGTCCCTGGGCATCGGAGTGCAGGAACTTGTGTTTTCTATTTTATATACTCTGTGCTAATTGAATTTGTTGCAAAGACTATATATAAAATATAAATATATATATATTGCAATTTTATTTATTTTTTATTATTCTTTTTTGTGTATGTGTGTGAGCTTGGGATTGAACTCAAGGCCTTCACACTAAGCTACATTCCCCAGACCTTCTTTTAAATTTTGAGGCAGGGTCTTGTTAAATTGCCCAGATGGGCTCAGACCTGCAATCCTCCTGCCTCAGCCTCCCAGAGTGCTGTGATTATAGACATGCACCACTGACATGCCTGGCTAACTTCTGCAATTTTAGAAGCTCATTAAAAGTACAAGAATACATGAATGAATGAATTAAATATACCATGAAAGTAGTGACCTGGAAGAAGGAAAAAAACTAATGTGTTGGAGCAGTGATCCCAGCCACGGGCTCTTCTGGTCCTTTCCATGTAGCCAGCAGGATCTCTCCATCCTCATCCTAAAAATGGACAAACCAAGGCTGTAGAGGGTGAAGCACTTTGCCCCCATTTATTAGTTAAAAGGGAAAGAGCACTGGGCAGCTCAGCTAATGCCTTTCTCCGCTGCCAGCATGTCACTGTGGAAGGCTGGGTTCGGGTGCCTTCCAGTAACTCAGGAGACAGAAAGACGGGGAAGAAAGAGCTTCAGCGGGAACAAGCCGGTGAGTCTGAGGAGATCAGGCTTTGGTCCAAATCCCATTTTGCTTACGTGGGCTGCCGTGAGTCTAACTGTAGCCATAGCCAAGTGGGCACCAGAATGGCCATCAACTTTTGCGGTAATCAATGCTTTTGACACAGTTTTGTTCCCCCTGCTGCAGGAGATCGAACCCACAACTCTACCCACACTAGGTAAGGGCTTGACCTCTGAGCTGCAGCCTGGTCCCCTTGCTGTTGCCCCTGGCCTTGATGTTGTCCCAGGTGATCAGGTGTCCCAGAGGCCCCTGTTTCCTGTAAGCTCAATGGAAGATGACCCATGGAGGGGTCGTAGGACTTGGGATGTTTTTCCTTTATTCTTTACAGGCCAGGCTGGCCTCATCAGCGTGAGGAATGGCGAGGGGAGTAAGATTCAAGGGTAGGAGGCTCAGCAGGGACAGTGGGAATAACCCTGCTAGTGAGAGTAGCGTGCGAACAGTTTGCTGGCTTCAGACTCAGACACTGCACTCTTAAGCTTTTGTAAATACTCTGTTATCTCACTCTTCTTTGGTTTTCTTTAGTATAATCTCTCAAAATAAAGGAGGACTTAGGCCTGGGAATGCAGCTCAAACCTGGGCCTGGGCACTGAGATACACACACACACACAAACACACATGCACACACACACACACACACACACACACACACACACACACGAACGTGTGCGCGCACACACACACATGCGTGCACACAGACAATCCATAGAATGGGAGAAAACATACGTAAATCACAGATCTCACTAGGGACTCGTTTTTAGAATATATAAAGAACTGTTGACTGGGGATGTAGCCCAGTAATAGAGTATGTGTTTAACATTGCTTGAAACCTGGATTCAAACCCCAGCAGCACAGGAAATAAACTGGGGAGGGGAAGGGTCTTGTGTTTCTCAAGGAAGAAGGAAATCTTGCCGTGGAGCCACTCTTGGAGACACTAGGGCTGCTGTGTGCAGGGGCTGGGGGAGCATAAAGAAGAGCAGGGTGAGCTGGGTGTCGTGGCGCAAGCCTGTAATCCCAGAATTTGAAAGGCTGAGGCAAGTGGTTTGCTGGGGGGTCAGGGCCAGCCTGGGATATACAGCAAGTTTAAGGCCAGTCTAAACTATGCATAGCAAGATGCTGTCTCAGAAAAAAAACAAAAAACAAGAAAAGCAGAGCAGGCCAGGCTTGGTGACACACACCTGTAATCCCAGCACTTGGGAGGCTGAGGCAGGAAGATCACTGAGAATTCAAGGCCAGCATTGGCTACATAGTGAGTTCAAGGCTGGTCTAAACTGCATACAGAGACCTTGTCTCAAACAATACAATACAAAAATAGCAAAAGGAGAGCAAGGGGAGATCTAGGGTCTTCCCAACTCCCCAAATCTGTGTGCCCTGGGGCAGGCAGGGGCTTCCCTGGCAAGGCAGGTCATGGGCTGTGACCTGATGTCCATGAGAAGCTGCCCCGCCATTTCACCCCGAGCCCCTGAGCCCCTTCATGCAGTGAAAACCTCTCCTTGCTCCCGTGTACCCCAACCCGCTTTCTTCTCTTCCCTGGAGGTCCGAGGCTCCAGATGTGTCTCGCTTACATCTTCCCTGCAGGGAAGTGTGAAAGAGAAGAACAGGAAGCAGCTGATGCAGAGAAGCTAATGAGTCTAGAGCTAATGAGTCCGGGTGACAGCCCTGAAAATCCTGGCCACCCGTTTCCAACATCGTCATGGCAACAGAGCATGTTTATTGAGCTCTTGCCATGGCTCAGGCACCTGCTGGTGACACTCAGGGAGATTTCAGAGTCTAGGGTCTCAGGGGCTGTCAGTGTCCAGGTGAGCCCCCGCTGTGTCCCAGGGGCTGGGCCCTGACCTCCAGGGTGAAGGACACTTTGTCATTGGACTTCCTGCGCAGTGCACCCTCTCATGGCTCCAGCCCTACCAAATGATGTTTTCACCCCCTCTTCTGGCACCACCAGCCCGGGGTTTCAGGTAGACTCCGAGACACCCTTCTGTCCCTGCCTGTTGAGTTGACCTGAACTGGGATCTGAGCCAAGGCAGCTCCCTCGCTCATCCCACGCTCACCGCACGCTCACTGTATCCCTTGCCCCCAGCCAGCTGCCAGCCCAGGGTCCTTGCATACCTCAAGAGGCTTCCAAAGTAGGGCCAGGGAAGCCTGGGGCTCAAGCTTATCTGTTCACAGCAATCCTGCCTGGGAGCTCAGAGGAGAACCCACCGTCAAAGGGTGAGATCCTGCCTTGCTAATTCAGAATCCCATTCCTCTTTCAGTCCCCGGCATTAGCATGATGTCAGGTACAAGCACAGAGGCCAATAACCCTCAGGACTGCTGTTTCCCTGCTCAGAACCAGGCTGTCACAGCGCTGACGAAGAGCTGCTGGCCCACAGATCCCATGGACACATGCACGGGGTCTTGGAAAGACCTTCCCACAACACCTCACGTGCAATGTGACACAGCTTGGGTAAGTAGGGAGCTGTCACCCTAAGGCAGACTTCCTCTGCGCCCCAGTGGAGAGAGGCTCCTGTCTGTTTTCTGTCCCCTCACAGTCTGCTTCCTGGAGCCAAGATGCACCCAGGATCCCTGACTTCCCCATGGGAGAGGAATTTCAACAGGGCAGGTATAGAAGTCTGGATGCTCTCCCTGAAGTGTGAACGCACTGCAGCAGCCACCGAACCTCAAGTCCAGCCTGGGCTCTGGTCCCCTCCTCTGACACTTCTTGCTTTACAATGTATTTGTTTTTTTTACAAAGCAAGCAAGCCCTGTGTCCCCACCTCCGTCCCAGATGCCTGGAGGATAGGGAGGAACCTGTCTCTTTGCTTCCTTGAGTCTGCTGCTCTTCTCCCATTCGTGAATGGCTGTCATGAGCCGGACTGATCTGGGGGACCTTATGTTAGTAGAACTTCACCATTGCTTCCACGCCTCCCATCCCTTATTGGCTCCCATCTGTCAGCCAAATTGCTCCAAAGCTTGTTTCTTTCTCTTTATTGGCTCAGTGCAGTGCATACAGACTGACATAGCTGAGTGGAAATACCTTGGAAACGGCAAAATAAAAACAGACAATTGGTTGATAGTAGAACGGGAAGTTTCTGAGCACAGAGAGGCAGGACAGGGGCTCAGGCCCCCTCTTCAGTGGGGCTGCGGCTGCTTTGAGGCAGTGCTGGTGGCTCTTCCAGATTGGAGGAGATAACTCAGAGGGGACAGTGGGTCAGAGAGTCTGTTTTTGTCCTGTCTTAGCTGGCACCTATCCTGAAGCTCCTGGTTTTTATTGTTTTGCTTGTTTTTGCGCCGGGATCTCGATCATGTAGTTCAGGCTGCCCCAGAACTCACTCTGAAGCCTCAGTTGGACTCAAATACTCAGCAATCCTCCTGCTTCAGCCTCAGTGCTGCCTCAGTGCTGGAATTACTGGCCTGTGCCACCGTGCCTGGCATAAGGCTCCTGTTCTTTACCACCTGGCCGCAGCAGGGCATGGTGGTGCATGTCTGTAGTCTCAGTGCTGGGGATGCCGAGGCAGGAGGATCACCATAAATTCGAGGCCAACCTGGGCTATACAGTAAGTTGAGGAACTATATATGAGACCCTGTCTCAAAAAAACAAACAATAAAGAAAAAACATCTGGCTTGAAGGACACTGGATGGTGAAGGCCTCTGCTTGGAAGGAGTTTCTCAGGTCTGCCATCGGCTAAACCTGGGCTATGCTGACAGAGTTCGCTTACATCAGGCCTCTGCCACCCTGGCTCCTTCCTCCACAACACTGTATCATTGATTGGGCTGCTCCGTCCAAGCTTTTTATGGCTGGTATCGATTGCTGCTTTTATTGGCAAAAAGCACATCAAAATAAAAACAAACCGAAGTGCTGGTGCAAGGAGGGAGAAAAGTGCTTTGTGTGTGTCTCTAGGGCTGGGACAAGACTTGCTCAGGGACCTGGTGGTCAGCCTGGTCCCTGGGCTGCTGCTTTTTCATGCATCTCTGCAATTACCTAAGGATGTTTGTCTGTCTGCTTCTCACAGGGCGGGCTGCTGTGGCCTCTTCCCTACATACCTGGAATGCTTGGCTCTCCATTCACGCCAACCGACAACCAGGTAGGGCTCTGCAGAAAGCAGTCATTTCAGGGTTAGGCCATCAGCCACACCTCTCTGTTCATTCTGCACATAGCTGCTGCAGCTGCCAGTCATCCCAATTTGGGGTTAGGGGCTTGGTTCCAGAATGGCAAGCAGCAGCAGCAGCTCCAGCAATTATTCTTACCACATAGCCAGAGAGCATCCACTGAGCTGTCCCATCATGTTCAGTATCTAGGCCAACGCTTTTAGCCAAGTAGTGCTATATTATCAAGCTTCCTACCATTTACAGATAAGAGACTGGGGCTAGAGGTTGCTAAGTGGAAGATAAGTATTGACATTTGGGCTCAATTTCTGCATCTGTAAACTGAAAATAATGCAGACTACTTAGGGCTGCTGGCAGGATTTGAGAAATATTACATATGTGTTTACTTGCTTATTGCCTGTTTTCTGCTATCTACACTATTAATTCCAGTGGGCGAGGGCTTTGGATTGTTTGCTACTGTATTGTCAGAGCCTGAAACTAGTGCCACAAAGGTTCAATAAACTCTTGTGCCTAAACTGGGTGTGGGGGTAAATACCTGTAGCCTTGTAATCCCAGCTACTGGGGAGGCTGAAGCAGGATTACACATTTTTTTTCTGCTCCATCTTTGAAGTTAAGGATTACACATTTGAGGCAAATTTGGGTCTTCTTTTGAGATAATTTTCCTACACATGACTCACGTTGTTCCTTCTTTATCGCAGAGTTGTACTCCATCGTGTATGTATGTGGGCTTGAGACCATAATGTTAAGTGAAATAAAACAGACACGCAAGCTTAAATATTGCATGGTTTCTCTTATAGGAGAAACATGAAGTATAAACAAAGAAGAAAATAAAAGCCAGCTAATAGGAAGTCAGGAATAGATCTTTTGCAAGTGGGAAGAAGACTAACAGACAGAAGGAGGGAAGAAGAGGATGTGAGAAAGAATGAAGATGCGTTATGGCCATGTACCAATTGCCCAATCTAATCTTTATGTCCTGCAAACATGTATCAATAAAAACAAAGAAAAAAAGTAAAGAGTGCTTCCTGGGTTCAAACTCCAGTATTCCCAAAAGCAAAAACAAAACACTGGTGCTCACAGAGAAAGCACAGAAGGTAAGCCTAGGCCAGGCTGGCGGGGATATAGCCTTAGTTCGCAGGCTCTGCCACCCGCCCCAGGCAGTCCCTGACCCACGGGAGCTTTGAGCAAGGGCTGGAAATGGGGGCCGATTTCTGGCTGGTGACAAGGTCAGCAAAATCCCCAGGAGTTGCAATGCCAGCCTCAACCTCAGGTTCCCTTTTTCTAAATCAGGAAATGATTTTCATCCTCCTTAGCTGAGCGGCAGAGAGCTGGGGACCGAAGAGACCGAGATCGGGAAGCAACCCAATGAGCAAGCGAAACTGGGGAACAGGAAACTGGGCAGAGGAGCGGGGACAGCAACAACGACAGGAGAGGACCCAGACGGGACGCACCAGCAGGCAGAGGACCCGGCACCAGCACGCATGCCCACCCGCGCCTCCCGCACAGTGCCACCTTAAACACCCAGGCCCCCTTAAGGGCGGGCGCCAGAGCCGTGCGCCGGGGCGGGGCTTCCCATGCAAATGAGGGGCGTGGGCCGGCGGGAGGGGCGGGCGGGGCGCTGATTTGACGTCAGGCCCGCGGCCCGGGCAGTTGGCGCGGCGGCGGCGGAGAGGCAGGAGCTGCGGCGCGGAGCCGGGCTGCGCGCGCGGGCGGCAGAGCCGAGCAACATGGCGCCGGCCGGCGGGGGCGGGAGCTGGGGCAGCGGGCCGGCCCGAGGGCGCCTCCTCCTGGCGGCGCTGGCGCTCCTGTGGTTGCGGGGGGCCCGGGGCCAGGGCAGCCCCCAGCGAGGCGCGATCCTGGGCATGAGGCTGGCGAGCTGCAACAAGTCGTGTGGGATGAACACGGATGGCATCATCTTCGTGTCCGAGGGCAGCACGGTGAACCTGAGGCTGTATGGCCAGAGCCTGAGCGACATCTCCAGCAACCTGATCTCTTTCACCGAGGTGGACGACGCCGAGGCGGCCGCCCACAACTCCACCACCTGCCCAGAGCTCACCAAGGACCTGGTGGTCCACCAGCTGGTCAACGTGAGCCGCGGGAACACGTCCGGGATGCTCGTGGTGCAAACCAAGTTCCTGCGGAGGAGCGAGAGCAGGAAGCTATACGCGTTGTGCACCCGGGCGCGGGTCGATGGGCCCTGGGTCAGGTGGACCGACAAGGACTCACTGCTTGTCATGATGGAGGAGCACGGGAGGATGCTGCCCCTCTGGCTGCACATCCTTCTGGTCATGGTGCTGCTGGTGCTCTCGGGTATATTCTCGGGCCTCAACCTGGGGCTCATGGCCCTGGACCCCATAGAGCTGCGCATCGTGCAGAACTGCGGCACTGAGAAAGAGCGGAAGTATGCCCGCAGGATCTTGCCCATCCGCCTCAAGGGCAACTACCTGCTTTGCTCCCTGCTGCTGGGGAATGTGCTAGTCAACACCTCCCTCACCATCCTCTTGGACAACCTCATTGGGTCCGGCCTTGTGGCGGTAGCCTTCTCTACCATAGGCATTGTCATTTTTGGGGAGATCTTACCTCAGGCGCTGTGCTCCCGACACGGGCTGGCCGTAGGTGCCAACACCATCGTCCTCACCAAATTCTTCATGCTGCTCACCTTCCCCCTCAGTTTCCCCATCAGCAAGCTCCTGGATTTCGTCCTCGGCCAGGAGATCCGCACCGTTTACAATCGGGAGAAGCTGATGGAGATGTTGAAGGTGACAGAGCCCTACAATGACCTGGTGAAAGAGGAGCTGAATATGATCCAGGGGGCCCTGGAGCTAAGGACCAAAACGGTGGAGGATATCATGACTCAGCTCCATGACTGCTTCATGATCCGTAATGACGCCATCCTGGACTTCAACACCATGTCGGAGATCATGGAGAGTGGCTACACACGCATCCCTGTGTTCGAGGGCGAGCGCTCCAACATCGTGGATATTCTGTACATCAAAGACTTGGCCTTTGTGGACCCAGATGACTGTACTCCCCTCAAGACCATCACCCGCTTCTACAACCACCCGGTGCACTTCGTCTTCCACGACACCAAGCTGGATGCCATGCTGGAGGAGTTCAAGAAGGGTAAGGACCACACAGCTCGCTGATCACATGTCTCTGCAGCCCCTCTCCTTGTCCTGTGTGCTTCCCCTCTGCAGGTTTTAAGGGTGTGTGTCACACTGACCTTTTGCCCATCACTGCCTTCGACTTCGAAGTGATTGGTACCAGGCACAGTTCTTAAGTGTCCACTGACTCTGAGGTCCTGCACTTTGTGCTCCAGATGCATCAAAGTGGGAAAAGACACACTTGCTCACTTTTGGAGACAGAGCAAGACCTCAGGGAGCAAGACAGAGCAAAGCCAGCACCCAAAAAGAGGCCAGTGGGAAAGGGCTGAGCAGCGGTGGAAGCCTTCACAGGAGGGGGCATTTGAGGAGCATTTGAAAGATGGTCAGCCTGAGTGGGGAGAAGCCACAGATATGCTCATGTGTGGACAGGTGACATGGATGGTACATTGGCCTCGCTGATCAGCAGTCGGGGGAGAGAGGCAGGAGTGTCTGAGTCCTGGTGGACAGTAAGTTTATTCTGAGCATGGAGCCCTGGAAGGTTTTCGAGCTGGGGAGTGTGTCATAGGAGCTCTGAGCCCACAGAAGCAAAACAGGGAGGTCTCCGAACAATGCCAAGTAATGCATTCCGCTATTCAGCAGAAGCGAGCAGATTAAGTTCGGTGATTGTTCTGTCTTTCCCAGGCGCCAGACATATAAGCCTGCCCCTGTAGTCTGCGGGAGCTGTACTGGCCTCACACTGCCACATGCTTTCTTCTCACGTGTGTTCCTGGCTGCTTCTCGGGTGGTTAGAGGCCCTTGGAGGCTTTGCTCCACCCGCAGCCTCCAAGCCCTGGGCGCGCACCCTGCCTTTCCCTTCCCTTCCAACCAAACTTTCCTTCCACCTCTGCCACCCAGAATGCAGTAAACAAGCCAATTATGGAGGAAACCCCTCCTAGGCTGCAGGAGGTGAGGAGGCAGACAGTCATGGTGGGGTGTGGGAGCGCTTTAGAAAGGAGTGGGAGTGAGGTCCTGGCTTCTTCAGCTCAGTCCCAATCTTCTTTCCGTGGAAGAGCTGCTCAGACAGAAGCCGCTTTTCTTTCTTCACACTGAGCTACGTTTTATTTTGAGTCAGAGTCTCTTTAAATCAGTGAATTCCCCAGGCTGGGCTCACACTTGCCCTCTTCCTGCCTCAGCCTCCCAGAGTACAGGGTTAGGTGTGTGAGACCACCACCACCACACTTTGGATTCTAGCTTGGAGCAAGCCCAGGCTGGGTTCTGGACCAGAGTGAAGGACAGCCTTGGAGTGGCTCGGGGAGGGAGGAGTTGGTTTGGTTTGAAGATGCTGAGGTCCATGTTGAGGCAACTGTGGGAGGTTATGCCATTCCTTGGTAAGTTTGCCAGGCTAGATCTCAGTAGCAGAGCTGAGGGTGACCCAAGGACAATGAGCGCGAGCAGGAGACAGCCTGGCAAAGACCTCACTGTGGAGACTGGCTGGCCATGCCTGGTGGTGCTGCGGGAAGAGCTTGGGGGTGCAGACCCAGGAGCTCACTCCTCCCCGGCCCACCTCACCCTCATCCCGGGACTCTTCTCCCAGTTTTCTGTTTGGGAACCTGCTGAGGACTCTCAGAGCAGCTTCCTCCCTGCTCACCTCTGTGGTCTCAGGGACGTGTTGAGTGTCACATCCGCCAGCCCAATGGGATCTGGATCCACCCAGTGTGGACTGGCCCCTCCCAGTATGGGTGGGAGCGTCCTGGGGCTCCGTAGGGCCATCCTTGGACTTTTTGGTAAAGAAGTGCTTTTTTATTGAGCTGGGAGAGAACTCAACAGTGCTGAGGCCAGAGCTCTGAGCCCAAATCTCCTGACTCACCTTGGAGTCTGGAGTCTGGGGGATGCTGGTATTGCTCTTGGGCTGAGCTGAACCCTGCAAGGGCGCTTGTACACCCCAGGAAAGGCAGGCATGGTTGGCCTTGGGCCATCCTTTCCTGCTTCCCAGGGGTTTTGGAAGTTGTCAGTTGCCACACAGGTCCCTCCCAGGGTGGTCTTTCCCAGGTCTTTCCATCTGGCAGCAACTTTTATTCTGAGGCTGCCCAGCCTGAGGCAAGCACCTCCAATATATCTGCAACTTAAAAAGATTTTCTTACAAGTTTTGTTGTTGTTGCTGTTGATTTGAGTCAAGGTCTTGCCGTGTAGTTCAGGCTGGCCTTGAACTCATTGTGTAGCCCAGGCTGCTCAAACTCACGGCGATCCTCCTGCCTCCTGATCTTTACAAGTTTGCGGTTTAGAAGTCTTTCTTTTTTGTTAAGAAAAAACAGTTGAGCAAGTTTAGTATAGCCAGTGTGATCCGTAGCAAGCACCCAAATCAGGCTCCCACCTCTGGGTTAGCTGAGGGCTCTGAGCCTGGCTCTGTCAGAGCACTCAGGCTGCAGGGCTGCCGTTCTCTTTTAGGGCCCTTTTGTCTTCCTTCCCCAGCCAGCATGATGAGCTCCCGAGAGTAGCAGGGCTGCCTTGTGCTCCCAGGACTCAGTGCCTGGCAGAAATGGGTCTTCCGGAAATGTGTGCAGAACAGGTGAGTGGCTGGCAGTGGGTGGTGACTCTGCAGCCAGTGTGGTGGCTGTGCTTCCTTGAGCTCACCAGGACACGCCCACTCTGGGTCCCCAGCTGTTCTCTGGCCCAAAAGTCAGGGTGCTTACTCTTTCTTCTTTGTGCTTGCTTTAGTGGTCACCTTAGTGAGGCCTTCTTGTCTCTCTGTTTAAAACTGCTGGGCTTACAGGTTCAGGCCCGGAAGACCAAGGATGGAAATTTCAAGCCCAGCCTGGGCAAGTTAGCATCCTAGTGAGACCCTGTCTCAAAGAATAAAAAAGGATCTAGGCCTGTAATCCCAGTACTTGGGAGGCTGAGGCAGGAGAAGCATTGCAAGTTTGAGACCAACCTGAGCTACAGAGCGAGCTCAAGGCCAGCCTGAGCTGCATAGTGAGACCCTGACTCAGAAAGACAGTAATAAAACACCCAAAAAACAGTCCTGCATCCTCCATTCCACTTGACTGTCCCCATCTTCCCCTCCCTGTGCCCATTTCTGCTCTCCTGGAAGCTCGTCGCACGCTCTAGCATCTGTGGGATTTGCTGACTGGCTGTGTCATTGTCTCTTCCCTCCCACCAGGGGATCCGGTCCAGAGCTTCCTTCTGTTTCCGGATGCCTCTGTAGTCCCACCATCTGCTCTGGGCACATAGTGAGGCCTCAGTAAAATGTCACTGGTGAATAAGTGAAAGAGTGACTTTTCTGCTAGGGAGCAAACTGTTCCTGTCCCAGGAGTGACAGCACTCCTATCATGTATGTGTGTTAAGGATCCAGAGTGCCGTGCTCAGGTCCTTGTCCCCATGCCTCAGTTTCCCTGCCTACAAGGTGACCTCCCTCACTAAGGGGCAAGCTTCCCCCAGGACAAGGCAGGAACCGAGCCACCCCTGGCTGCAGCTGCCCACTGACTCCACGCAGTGAGCCGTAGGTGCTTATCAAGCCCTGTGCCATGTGCAGGCGGACACCTAGGCTGGTGCCACAGAACCTCAGGAACAAGAAACGTGCCAGTTGAGCAGAAGCTCCTGTGGTCTGACCCTTGCCCTGCCTCTAGCACCACACCTGGGACTGTTTGCACGCAGGGCGTGGAGAGGTTGGGTCTGGGTCGAGTGTGCCCTGCTCTCCCGGTCCACTTCACCTTCGCCTCTACTTCTGATGCCTTTGAGACCCTGAAACAGGGTCACATGCGCTCCCCGCGTGAATGTGGTGGTCCTAGAGGTTGAGTCCCAAGCCCTGTATGGAACCCACTATCCAGTTTCTCCGGACCTCTCCTTCAGGGCGTTCCTACCCGCCCTGGCCAATTTATCTTTTCCCACCCACCTTGTAGCTGGCTTCTCTGCTGTGTGGGGCTTCAGGTCACACCCCACCCCACCAGAGCTGGGTTTAAATTCCACCCGGCTTGGTCATTGACCTAGGAGGTGACCTTGGCCCTGTTGCTGTTCTCAGCAAGCTTGTGGGATGTCATCTGGAGGGAACAGAAGGCCAGAAATATTTTTATTCCAAACCCCTCCCAGTGGGGTATGGTGGCACATGCCTGTAATCCCAGTCCTTGAGGCTGAGTCAAGAGGATCTAAAGTTCAAGCCCAGCCTGGTGAATTTAGCCACCTGAAACCCTGTTCAAAATCTGAGAAGTAATAATAATTTTTAAGAGAGGCTGGGTATGTAGCTCAGTGCCAAGAGCTGGGTTCAAAACCTAGTTTCAAAAACAAAACAAAACCACTGTCAAACTGGGCATGGTGGCACATGCTTATAAACCCAGCACTCCAGGAAAATGATGCAGGAGGATTTCAAATTCAGTTCCAGTCTCAATAATTTAGTTGCTTTTCTAAGACCCTGTCTTAGAAAACAAACAGAAAACCCTCTGCATTTCCATCTGCATCACATCAGATTTTCCTGCAGACTTCACTGTATAAAGTCAAGGAGATCACGATGCTGCATGATTTTCCCATTCATTTCTGGTTCCTGTGACTTCAGTCGCTGCCCCAGGCAGGCACTTCTGTCCCCACCCACCTGTCTTCTTATTCCTTTGTTCAACAAATGTCTCTGCTTCTGGCCGCCTGTGTGTCAGACACTGCTGTATTGGGGATAAAAGGGCTCCATTCAGACTGCTGGACCCTGCAGGAGCCACAGTGGGCCGAGGCAGGACATCACATGAAAGTTAGGGCCAGGAAGTAGCTGCGTACCCAAGAGGTGTCCAGCCTGGGATTTGGGTCCATGTTGTCACTGCATTGCTGTAGGGAACGGAGGCAGTTTGGTCAGGGCATCCTCACCCTCTCTCAGGGTCTTCCAGATGCAGTGCTGTGGACACTAGGGCTCCTCAGCTTCAATTCTGCCCTCAAGCCTCTTGGGCATTGTGCTGCGGGGCACCCTAGAGGCCAGTGGGTCCTGTGAGGCTGCCTGTCCTGGACCATGACAGGGACGGGCCCTGGGCGGGAATGCAGAGGTCCACACTCCCGTGGGTGCAGGAGGGA